TGTGGGAATATGTAATCTACCTTCCTCACTACATCCAGTGAAGGTCAGAGTCAAGGCAGAACTGAGAATGCAAGGCGAGGATAGCACAGCTGTGGCTGTGCATCCTCAACAGGGGGACCAAGCTGGAACCTCTCCTGTGTACAGCTCTTGCCATCAGTTTATCACACCTACATAGGTGGTGGTAATCCTCACCATCCTCAAAACTCTCAGTATCTGGTGTATGGTTATAAATTAATAATGCTTTGGGTGTCGTATCTTTAGCAACTACTGCTAATGAAGTTCTCTGTGTGCAGATTTTATTTAAATTCTACTTTTCTTTTGATCTTGCTGTTAGTATTTGAAGTTGACTGATATTTATCACTGTGTTCTCGCTACCTGCCCTAGTTTCCCTGGTGCATACCCCATGGCCCTCTTGCTTAATTCTGAACCGGCAAAGATGCTGGCAAACGTATCGTAGACAAGCTGATGAAGTCAGACTAATGACTTAGGCTGGGTTCTGAACTTAAAGCTTTTGCCGTTTTGGTTGAGGTATTTTTTTGTTTTGATTTTCTTTGGGAGGGGTAAGGGGTGTTACACCCAACAAAAACTCTTAGGATGGAAGCAGCTACTAAGCTAGCACAGCTAGTCTGGCAAACTTAGTTTAATATCTGGTGAGCATTCAATGATACATCATCGAGGCCTTGAGCAAGTCAAATGAGTATTTTAATTCATAGTTTTCAGTGTATTTCTCCTACTGTGAGGTTACTCATTTTAAAAGTGGCCATATTTTACTGTCAGTATCATTTTAAAGGAAATAGAGCTCATTTCAGTATAAATGAAAGGGAAGTGTTACCATAAGACAAATTTGTGATGAGTGTTCTTCTGTTGGTACAGATGGCATCTGTGTATTTTTATCACTGTAAATCACTCACAGTTGGAGTCATACTTAGTCCAATACCTTGCTTTATGTTTATTAAAATAATCACAGTTTTAGAGACGATATTAATCACTTGGTTCTTTGGAAACATTTGGATTGGTAGATGGAAAAACATATTTATTTTGAGAAAGCAAATGATGCCATTACTTTCCACATATTTTTAAATTTACAAATAATAAACTATATTGCACAGCAGTGAATTAGTAAGCTGAAATACTGATTTGTAAGCCTTACTTTTCTCATACATCACATTACAAGTATATGGCTGATAAATCAGGACTTCAAATAGTACCAGTAAATGCACGGGGGACAGTTACCTACATTTAAATTCAAACTATATTTTTATACATTTTCCAAAAAATCTCAGTCTGTTGGTAAGATTCCTCAAGAAGTCTTGAATTTGGTTTTTGTACTGTGATTACTACAGTTGTGTTCCAGCTCTGAACTGGTAATTGTCCACAGCTGGACTAGCTTAGATGGGAGGATAGAAAGATTTTAAAGAATAGGTTTTCAGCTAGAAGGCAGCTACTTAGATCTAACAGATTTGGATCAAGCTACCTTTTTATTTCCTTTCTTCTGGGGATTGCTGATGACTTGTTTGGCTGTTAGCATAACCAAAGCGGTTTACAGACTCTCGTGCATTATATAGGTTACCTATGCTCCAGAGATGCCCATTCTCAGATTAGGAGGGCCCTGTCTATTCCAGCGCCTGAGCCAAACCCCACAAGCACAGATTGGGAGAGCAGAGCTGTAAGTGCCTACATGCTACTGCTCTTTGCTGTATCTGGTGAGTTTGTCTAACTTGTACTGCAATATCTACATAAAATGGACTGTGAATCCCTGCAAATGAGGTTGGCAACATTCCACATAGCAATCGAAATGAGCTGTGGGCTGTGCTCCCCTTTGTCTTTGCAAAATGGTAAAGTGGGAGCAGATGCACTCCAAGCTTTCCAGACTATGAGCTACAGCCTGAAGGAAAGCAAAACGAGTAATTTCTTCATTCTCTCAAATGAAAACCAGTTGCCCCCTGCTTTCATAGGATACGTGAGGGAAGCAGGCCTGCATGTACAAAAGATGTAAAGTGATGCCAACTGGTTATATAACCGATGTGACCTGATCAAGATAGACGACTTCTTACTCAGTTACTGGTTTTTTTTCATAATTAATGCAGTTTTTCTGTTCTGAACTTCAGCAATTACCCAGTCGAATTAACTTTTAAAGAATGGTATTCAAACTATGAAATATTTAAATTCAACTAAGATGTAGCCAGATAATTTTGCACCAGTAACATCTATTGAAAACTATAAGAAAATGTATGTTTCTATAGGCAGACACACCCAACCTAACCAGTTTCAAATTTGTACACACTTGCATTAGCAAATTGTAGCTTGCTTTGCTCAACTGAAGTATGAGTCATAAAGATATCAAAGAAAATAACATCCAAAATTCCTCTCCAAGAGTAACACGTAATTATAAAATTGGTTGACTCAAATGAACAGTCGTCTTCATAAGCAGAATTATCTTGAATGACCTTCTGTCTCAATGTGCCTTTACACAAAGGGCCAAGACTTGCCATCCCTGTTCATGTGAACCCTCCGAGCATGTCAGCAGAATTATTCCAAGGGCAGGGTTACAGTCAGGAGAGCTTTAGCGCTGTGGAGCTACTTGCGTGTAAGAACGTGGGAGGTGGGCTTTTTTGTTTCTTTCTTTGTTCCTGTAGTACGTATAACAGATGTACTTTAATGTTAAATACTCCAGATATACCAGGAGAACATGACATTTGTATTCATGGTATAAAATGTAATTAGAAAGAGTTCCCTATCTTCATTTGATTGGTAAAATTCAGTTGCCTATGTAATGGAGAAGGGACAAATTTCTCACTTCTATTCTTCTGCCAGGAGTAATCCCATTAACTTCAGGGCAGTAATTTACTCAGTATTTACTGCCATGTAACTGAGTTCAGAATGTGCCCCCTCAGATTTGAGAACACTCGGAAAACAGTTGTGAGAAGATGACACCGCAGAAGACTGTAATGGGGAGAAAGAAATATTTCAGAAAATAATTTGCCTAATCTATTTTATAAATTCATATTTACACATACAGACATTTATTTTACATCTTTACACATCATAGAAAAAGGGACATCAAAAGTGATAGAAATCAAGCCACCGTGACGAGCTGGGATCAGCCTTGCCTAGAGCATGTTACGTGGGAAACGATAGTTTACTATTACGACTTCCTCAAGTGAAATTCTGCGCTTCATAATAAAATGCAGGCAGGAGATATAAATGCTTTACCTCGAGTAACCTAAAATTCGTAACAGAACTTGAGAGAAGAAAGGATCATCCCATATACACACACATATTTTCCAAGCAGCTACGGATCTCCACTGTCTTGCCATTTTAATGATGGATCTATCATGCTTACCAGCTGGCAGACTCAAATAGTGGGGGTTTTTTGGTAGAAATGGCTTATGATATTTTACATATTGGGGTGTTATTAATGTTTAGAATAAACCTAGATTTATTAAATATGCAGTATTATCTGTGTTTGTAAATGGAAATTAATGTCATTAAGAGATAATTGGATATATTTGTAATGAAGTAACATTCTCCAGTGAAATGACATGCATTCTACTTCCTATATGGGTTCACATTATATTTTATTAAAATACAAGACAGACATCCTTCAAAAGAACATGAAGTTGTACAAAACTTTAATTTTTACAAATGAGTTATAAGATGGAGTTATTTTCCGGACTAAAACATCGTGTAGCTTTGTGTATTACAACAACCTGCCTAGAATTTGGAAGGAAGGGCTGGAGCTATAAGAGCACAGAATTGAGGTGCTTTTGGAATTTCTCCATGGAAGAATAAACTTGAAACATATCTTGTAATGCCCTTTTCATGGTGGTTACCTCAGTAGGGCACTTCTTCAGTGTATTTCTTCACTTTCTCCTTCTTCCACTTCATCAGGCAGTACAAGATACCAGCTTGCCTTAACTTATTGTATAATCTTTAATAATGTCATGATGTAATACTATTATATGTCCCAGAAAACACTATGGGAACTCCATATGAAAACACTGTGTAATTATTTCTTACACTTGATTGTAAGTGTGGAGCAAGTCTAAATCAAAAAAATCATGTTTAATTCACACACACAAAATATTACTGGAGTAACAAATTAGAAATTATCAGATATGAGAGATCAGAAGCTGTTTTCTCCACAGCTGCAGGACTACCAAATTTTGTAAGATTGCTCTTGCAAGATTTCTGCCATCTGTAACTCATTTTAGTGAGACCAGCTGTTCTCGTGTTATTTTGACCACATCCATTTCATAATTGCAAAATACATCTCTCTCGGGTTTGGATTTGATCCAAAGTAAAATTTGTAAAGCAAAAATAAAATTACAAACTGCGACACCGGATCCTGCCACTCTGAACTCAGTGGCTCTTACACCTCGTATTCTGGTTCAACTCATCTGTAAGTGTGAATGTATATGCAAACCCACTGTCAGAACCATTTTTTAACTGTGTTGGTATGGTATATATATAACAGCAGGTTATACAAAAACATATTAAAAATGTTCATTAGATATTATTGAAGGAAGGTTTTCTAAATCTGTCTTAGACGTCACATAAGAAAGAGGTATTTAATATAAGGGATAAAAAATATTTGTAAGTATTACAATGATTTAAATTGATAACTTGTTGGCTTGAATAAAAGCATGAGGTAAAAAGGATGCATGAATAGAAAATTATTAGCATGTATTTACAATTTTTTTCAAGAAAATGGTTGTTTAAATGCTTGATATCAGAAAAATATAACATACCGGGTGTGAAACAGCATTAAAGTCTATGTGTGAAGTACATAAGAGTAATTCTTCTAATAATTAAACTTTCATATACTCTACTGTTCTGTTCAACTAAAATGTTATTTCTATAAAGTGTTTTCTCCCTACAGGTCATGTGTACTAAAGACAGTCCTAATTATTTATCTCGACACAGTACTTTAAAACTTACAATAATCTGTTGTTTGCTAGGATTATAACCAAATTTTACTCTTTACGTTTGTGTACATAGGCTCAACTGCTTGAACACCGTGACTCACTCCATTGGTAGGTGAGTACCATCTTTCTTCCTACATCTTGTTTGTGTTTTTTGGCAAGGATTTTCAAATGCAAATGCCTGACATTAAGTGGCCTAATCTTCAGGCGTAGTGACTTGAAACCCATATTGCATTAGGGAGCATTCAGTAGTTTTGAATGTCAGATTACTGGCTTGGAATATTATATAGTTACCGTCTTTTCCACTGAAACTTGAAAATGTAACCTGTGTTCATTTAATTTCTTTGACATTAGCTACTGAAGAAAGGGAATATATCAGACTGAATAGTTAATCCAGGGACTGGTTTATGTTTTTGATAATGCAACTTGTTCTGCAGTGGCTGTGGACAGGTTACAGCATGCCTATAATTATATATCATATAAACACATTACAGCAGTAGTTTCTATAGGCACAGTTCCAGGAACAATCTGGGTTTGTTCTAAATAACAAATATAACACCATTGCAAAGTGTGGGAAACAGTGCCTAACATCCAGTAAAAAACTGGTGCTGGTAGGACTGTCATTTGGCTGTTATGCACATAAGAATACAAGAAAAAAAAAAATTAATTGGAGATTGTTAGGAAGGGGTTGGAGGTAATTGTTTTTCCAAATTAGTAGTCTTGAAGATAAGACCAAGTTCACTAGAAAATTCCCTACTGTAACTATTTGGCAAGAATATATGAAAGGGAGGTTAATCAGCTGTTCTTTAAAATAATTGGAAAAAGCCTTTTTGTTTTGAGAAAGCACCTCCTTCCCAGCAGTCACTAGTCCTTGCCTAATTGCCAGCTGCTGAACTAGTCAATGTTTCAAGTATATCAAAGGGAGTGATGGACACGTACGTAGAATATGCAGAAGCATCTTCGGTTGGTTACATGGGCCAAGCTGGGAGATGCTTGCAGCTCTTTGTGACTACGTTCCTTTTTTATTCTGAGAGTGAATTTTCTCTACAGCAAGGTGGCTCCAGGAGTTCAGGCGTTAGCTTGTGTTATATCTCTGCATTCAAAAACAAAAAAACATATGATGGTTTCTTCTAATGATTCTTCTCTATTACTGTTTTTATCCTTATGATACCTGGTTGGAACATAACGGATACCTTTCTTTTCCAAGAGCTCTTCCTAATAGTCTAAGAAGGATTTCCTAACCAGTAATAAGGATATCACTGGTGGGTTTTGCGCTTATTGAAAGTGGCTCACTGAAAAGCAAACATATAAAACTTCACAACAAAAGAAATAAGCTTCAAATAACTAGCTATTACATATGCTGTAAGGAACTGAAAATGCGCAAGGAAAAGAATTCATCATCCTGTCAGCTTTGCCATAACAGGAACGGCACTTGTTGCCTGTGGATATAGTTTTAGTGTAGCTCTGGAGGACAGTGCTGACCCTTTTCTGTGAGCCATACAGCTCAGGAAGAGCTTGGAAGGTTCCAGCCTGGTGTCAGTGCTTGATTGCCCATAAAGACGATTAAGAGCAGATACAAAACCTGTAGTAGGGACTGCTGAGGTCCATCGACTCATCCTTTCCTTTCTACCCAAAGTATTTAAAAAGCTGCACTTTTTTGTTTTCTGGAACATGAATTAAGGCAAAACTGATCAAATGTATTAATTTATATTCCTGTCATCTTTTTATTGTTCTACTGGTTTACTCAAAAGGTCTGGGGGGGTAGGGTTTAAACCACCCATTTATTGAAGGACAGTTTATTTTACAATCACCGTACTTACAGAAGAAAGGAATGTGTATATAAATGGTGTAAAAAATCAGAGAATAAATGTCAAGATTCTTATTCTGGGTCTACAGCTACAATATTATGCTTCGTGATGAATCGTTTAACATCCCTTTACTTAGTCTGCTTCCTGTAATGTGGTACAAAATGACCATTTTTCATGAATGTGCACTGACTAAAAAGAAAAAAAATAATTTCATATCTTTATAAGGATACATAAATGCAATACAATGGCAGAGCAGAGTTGTTTTGTTTAATGAGTAGGAACGGTGGGATTCTTTGCAAAGTTTCCCTTTAAAGAAAGGAATTTGTCAGGATGTGTTCCAAGAAAATTTTTTGGAGAGTACTTACAGTCTAGAACACCTTGTCTGTAACAGCTTTTAGAAACATTGGGCATGAGATCTTGGCTTGCTCTCATAACAATTTTGGTGATGATGCTTATCATTCTTATTACTAGTATTATATTTATATAGCTGATTAAATGTCATAACACTTGGAAATTAATGTTCTATTTAATTACAATAGAAGGACAGCTGTTAGGTGTAGCGATGACTGTTCTTTATTTCACTGTCTTTGAAGTTTAACTCCACCCTACAAAGCACCTTCTTCCTGATGCATACCTATAATTCTCTCTGTAAAATGCTTGCACAAGATCGATGTGTATTGCCATCCACTCAAAACACCACCAAGGTTACAAATCAAAACTGTTTGAATCCGAGTCACAGCAGAATTGCCTCGTCACCTATCTTTCCCAATGCAGTGGGCTAAGATAACTCTGAAATACATTTCTGCTCTAGTCTACAATGAAAGTTATCTAGCACGATACATTCTGTCGTTGTAGTGTTAGCAGGCTATAAACATTTGAATTATGAAACTAAATTACATACAAATATTTTGCTAAAATTAGCCAGATCACTTATGTGCTATATTATTTGAATCTGTAAATATTCTATGTAAACACCTTTCAGGTAATTTCTGTCAGCTCACTTTCCCTTCACGCTGTATTTTGCTCGGTCATTATCCCAATCAGTAGTGACAAAGCCACTTCAAATTCAAGATTTGTTTTCAAATCTTGTTCATATTTTAAGAATCCCAGAACCAGGTAACTTACGTAAATTATAATTAAATTTATCTGATGAGAAAAGTAAGGTGCAGGACATAAAATATAACCTATAATTTATGAAGTTTAGGAAAAAAGTTGAAGATTCTCAACATTGTATTTTACTGTTTGTCTTCAAATACTACACAGAGGTAAAGACTATCAAAATTACAATGACGTTGGAAGTTTGAGTTACTGTGTAAGACATCAGCGCACACAACATTTGGAGGTAATGAACTCAGCGTTCTGCAACAAATTCTAAATTCTTGTGAAAGAATTTATAAAAGTAATTACGGCACCATGCTGACCTTCATTTTGTATACAAAGATTTTTGAATCTTAAATCTGAAAAGAAATGTCATCCTTTTTCCCATTTTGAAGACAGCAAGTTGGAATAAAGCCTGAGGGCGGTTTGTAACTTCTTGAGCAAACCCAAACAGCTTTCAGGCTAAGTGTAGAGATTTCAGGATTCTTTTGAGTAGTTTTGCAACCCCTGACTAATTTTAAATGAGTGTGTTTGGTTTGCCCTAAGAGCAATAGCCTGCCAAGAGAGTTGTTTTCTCCTTATGGTACACTTTCAGGTATTTCTAGAGAGAGTCTCTGTTTCATTTTGCGGTGTTTTGGGTTTTTTTAAAGTGGGTATTTCTTTGAGGTTATTAACCTTGTTGTCTTACATTCTTTAATCTGTGAAAGGGAAAGGTAATAGCATTTTTTTCCTCTCTGTTCACTACGAACAGTTATGGAAGTAATGGTCTTAAGTGGCAGCAAGGGAAATTTAAGCTAAACTCGAGGCAAATACTCTGATGACAACAGTTATGCACTGGAATAGATTGTCTACAGAGGTTACGCTGTTGCTAGTAAGAGACCGACAAACTTTAAGAAGCATTTAGGTATAGCTGACCCTGCCTTGGCAGGAGCGAATGTCTGAAATGACCTGTCAGGGTCCCTTCTACCTTCTGCTGTTGACGAATCGAGGAAAAAAATAATGTGTGCCTCATTCCTCTTCAGCTTCAGCAGGGGCTGACTTAGATTCCCTTCCTTTCCTTGTCAAGGCAGAAGTTATGACCCCAATCTGCTTTTATTCTGTTGGCTTATTGGGTTGTGACCTATTCCGTTTGTGTGGCTTGGAGAAGCAGATTTTGCACTTGTATGCAACAAAGACAACCATGGTGCTTTGTAGTTCTCTTCCACTTTTCTTCTAAGACTGACAAAGGATCTTTGCAATATGAATGAAATTATAACCGTCATTCTTACAGGCTTGAGCCATCGTATCCATAAAAAATACACCAACATATGTAAGTCCACACAGAAATGTAACAGGAACAGAGACGAGTTTTTCATCCTCAAAGTCCTGTCCCTCAAAACTCTGATTAGTTGGGGGAAAAAAAAAAAAAAGCCCAAACTGTTTACTCTAGGAAGCTATACCGCATTGTTCCCTTGAAGTCATAGGCGAATTCAGAGTTCGTCATTACAGCTCTGAAATTCTTATCTGTGAAGCCAGGACAGTTCTTCCCAGTGGAAAGATGTTCAATTCAGTGTCATGGGGCAATGGGAGTTAAGCTCATTTGACAGAGAGCGCTCTCTCATGTCCGAAATCCTAGAATGAAATTCTTCGCACGTGTTTATGAATTCGGTGAAATCAGAGGTCTTTGTACTGTGTTTACTGAACAGCTTTCATGAGATATAAATACCAGCACATTCTGCTAAGTTTCTAACAAACAGAATGGTCTACTCAATCCCAATATGGTCCTGTGTTAGAGCAGATTGGATACTATGCTTCAATGATGGGAAATGCATTTAAATGTTATCCAATGGCGTGTATGGTTTATAAATTTAGATACATTGTGGGTGTATAGAAGCTGATTGTATAGCATTATTCATTATGTGCCTTATAGCAAGTTTTGGCTCCTATTCTGTTCAATGATTGCACATTAGCATTCTTCTTGATCTTTGGTGCCTGAAGCTTCCTGCAGAACTGGTTTGAACTAGTCGCTCCTGCTTAAAGAATATTCTTTCTTCTTCTCCTGACGTTAGAAAAACTTATTATTGATAGTTGATGATTTTCCAGTACTCTTCCCAGTTCATAAAACTACAAACTGGATGCTCATGGACCAGCCACATCTCTGAAACAGCATGATAGGTGGGATAGATATGGGACTGACGGATGATTTATGAAAGGCTCCTGATGATTACCGTCTGCCTTGGCCACAGGTAGAAGGTGGTTCTGTGTCTTTCTGACTGATCAGTTGGGTTATCAGCTGACTTGCAATTAAAATAATAAGGCATTTATTAAGTCAGGAATTCTGAAGTGATAGTCTAAATTGCACTGACCGCAGAATTAGTAGTTTGTGAATTAGTAGCTTGTGGGGGAGAACACAGTTATTCTCTCTCTTCACTCTCACTGACTACAAATCACGTGCCTCTTTCTACTACAATGAGTTTATTTTAGCCACGTGTTCTTTGGTGTAAAACGCTTTCATTCTGCTTTGTGGATAATCTTCCCTACAGACAGAGAAGTAGGGTTGCTAGGAACAGGGGAACATCTTTTCTGATACAGTTAGATAATGATGATTATGATTGTGAGGTGAGAATTTTACCAGTAGCTTTAATGGCTGATAAGCATAGCTGATAAACGAATGAGGCCACGAATGGCATAGATCATGCACACAGACAAAGACTTAGTGTCTGAAACTTGCCACCTCTTATTTATCCTTCTGTTTTTACTTTAGGAAAAAAATATCCAATATTCTTATCTTAAAATAATAAATCTTGTTTTTCAGGTGGTATAAATTAGTGTGGAAGACCAATATCCCCCTGGCAAAGGAAGTAGAAGTTTCTCAGGTTGATTATCTTCAGTAGCCTCTCAAGTAAGGACTGCTCTTATTATGGCTATTACAAAATTATCTCATGTTGCCTTTAAGATTTTATGAAAGCAGGGTAGTCTTAAAACAGTAACTTCAAGTTTTCAAGCCTCTTTTAATTCGCCTTAAAGCCTGAAGCTGTTTATGACTGAAGATTCTAGCTTCTTCACTGGTCTAACAGCAATAGAAAGCAGGGAGATGACTGTGTTGATAAATATTCCAAGGTACTTGTATCAATTTATGTAGGTCACTGACTGAAGCAACTAAATACGAGTGAAAATGTTGTTGCTAACTTCAGCTGCCTTAAAGTCAGGGTCATGCACGCACCTTTGGATACCCAGGCACTTCTTTCAGCACTGTGCGGCATGCAGGTATTGAAAGAACAAGGGTCTGGCACTCTGAGTCTTCATGCAACGGAAGTAGCTTAACACTGGGTTAACGAATCGCCTGTGTAACAGATAAATTGTCATGGAAAAGCTTTGTCTTTTGGAATACTGATAATGCACGTCAGGCAGAATGGAACTGCTGTTTCGCACCATACACTCCAGCAGCTATTAATTTCTGGAGGGTTTATGTTATGCCATTGTTACAGGACAAAAGAAACTGAATGTTAAAGCAGATTCTTTAGAACTCGACTAACGCAGCAGTATTGCATATCACGCATAGGCTTGTTCGAATGTGTGTGTGTAGGTATGCTTGCTTTTTAGTATGTGTATACCTGAGAAGTTATGCAAGTAAAGACTTTTCTTGGCAAATACAGTAGTGCACAAATAGCTGTAAAAGAGCAATTACTTGTGAAACAGATAGCAGAAAGCAGAGCAGGAAAGCTGAAGCATTACCTATGTGTGGAAAAGTTAACATAGAAAACGGAACCTGGTAATATTTAAATGCATCTCTGTAAAATGGAAAAATGTTTGAGGAAAAAGTAAATAATCTGATATAAAAGCACCAGCTAACGTAGATTGAAATAACAGCATGCAATTTTGGTATTGTGCACATGTAAACTCATACACCTATGTAAATCGTCAGTATTCCCACAACAGGGAACCACTTCAGAGTGCTACTGGCTTAGAATAACCAATATCCAGAGATGATAGGGAACTACTAATCTATTAAGCTTCTTTAGATGAGGAAACAGAAGGCAGTTAGTGAAAGCCAAGGCTCTTTAATCTCTCACTGCTCAATGGACTTTGTTCTTACTCTGTACCCTTACATGGAATAAGAGTGTATAAAGACCAACCTTAGAGGAAGGTGCAAAGTATAACATTATTCATAATAAAGGAGTAACCCTCCTTATCATGATAAGTTTTAAAACATCCTTTACAATCCAAGTGAACGTGGTTGTCTAGGAGAAGCTATGTGGGGGAGGTTGCACCTACAGAATTAACATTTTCATTATTTTGTATGACCTCTTTGAATCTCTGATCCAGAAGGAAATTTACAGAAGTTGAGAAAAGAGGAATCATATTGAGAGGTTAAAACCAGAACATGCTTTCTGATTCAGAGTTGAAGTACACACCAAAACAGTGAGTTGTGTGTAACCCTACTGTGTACCTACACGGTTCCCGAAATGTTAAAATCGGAGACATTTGACAGTCCAGTATGATGTTTCAAATTCTGAAGCTAATGCTCCTCTCGGAGAATTAGACATAAACCCAACTCTGCTAGCTGATGGCACAGGAGAACAGGGCCCCTGCTTTTTCTGCCAGGAATGCTGCGTTCACTTGTCTGATGCACATTTCTGATGCACCGATCATTAATCATTCCTCTTTCAACTTGCAGTTTCACAGACTCATGCTGTACGTAAACAAGGGTGAGATACTGAGGTAAGAAAGAGTTACAGGATTAATGTCTGTGCTTCCTAAAGCCCACTTCCAACACTGGGTACGTTCTACTGGCTTGGGGTCATGAGTGGTTTTACTAGCAGCGTGGCATAGAGTTAGCTCTACCTTGCCACAATTAATTCTTGTGTTCAAGTTTGGGTAGAGGGGCAAAACAGATTGGCCAGCTGCTGCGTTTCCAATTGGCATGAGTAAAGCCAGTCTGAGAATAGATAGTTAGTGGAACTGGGTCAAAATAAAAATGCCTTCCTCCAGAAAACCTAGCAGCTGTGGCTATGAAATGCAGTCTTTCTAAACATGAAATTAAAATTAAAATATACATTTAACTGAAAAGTTTTGATTTGGACTTTTCCCCAACTTTAAATGTAAATAGAAAGCAGTTATAAAACTAAGCATAACAGCACACTTAGTCCCTATCAGCAAAAGAATCTCACTTTTTAAAGAGTAAGGATAAGTTAAAACTCGTCAGGTGTCTTGTAGGCTTATAAAAAAAAAAAAAAAAGAGAGAGAGAAAGAAAGAAATGTTGCCCTTCGGTGTATTCCGATATACACCACAAATCATACAGCACAATCAGAAAACCAAATATTTATTGCTTTACATAAGGCTCCTCTCTGAATTCTTTCTTGTGCTAGATAAAGTCATTACTGCAAAAAGGTTTTAAAAGATAACGAAAACTTTCATGCTTAAATGGGTTATAAAAGCCATAAAGCCTTCCACTAAATTTAAGCTCTCACAAACAAAATATCAGGTCCTATTTAAAAGAACTGCTTCATGTTGTTTACGTGGCCAAGTTGCTGATCGTGCATAAAGTTGTTCTCTTAATAATGAGTTGGTTAGAGTAACGCCCATCATCCAAAAATGTGTTACCTTGTAGGACATCTACATTTTAATCAGCTGATGAAACAGATGTGGGAGGATTGCCATGAGCTCTGTTTCTGAAATGGGAGAGAAGAAACTACAGCTCTATGGGGGGGAAAAGAAAAGCTGTAACGTCGGCTTCTTGCTTTCTACCTGACCAGTAAGGGACAAATTAGAAATTTAAGCTTTCTTAAAATAGGAAGTCCTAATTTAAGGGCTCAAATTGAATACAATTTTTAGATTAAATTCTGCACAATGTTTCACTTAAGCAAAAGCAAAAGCTTGATAAAAGCATCCATAAACTGGAAACTTTTCCGTATTACACAAAGACAAAACAGCATAAACTCTGTACTCACAGAAATGGCTGAAATTTCAGGTATAAGTTATAGGAATATAGCAAAAATATAGGTCACTCCAAGGGAGAGGAACTATCAAAAAACCCCCCTAAATTTCATGACAGAAAGATATAGGCTTATAATCTCTAACTGTTTAAATATATTTAGCCAAATAATATGGTATAAAAGAGAGGATATGTGGGTCACAGTGTGGAGACAACGTATTTAAGTTAGCCTCTTGGATACTACAACAGTGTGGCCACAGTAGCATGAAGCAGGTCTAGTTGTGCCTATTCCAGTTTCTGATGGCCTGAGCTATTGAGACATTATGTTCTTATCTATGTATAGCTATGACATACATTGAGCAAAGAATTGTCTATTAATTACAGTTGTTATTTTAAATTCCTATCATCCTTCATACTTGGCCATAGAAATTTTAGAGCAGTTGAATAATGTGGAGATGATAATACATCTGAAATTAAGTGTATCTTAAACCATTCTTTCGTCTTGATAGGTTATTGGGTGGAAAAATTGTCTACAAAATCTGTAGATGATTTTATTTACAGATGTTAAGAACTTATTCCCTTGCTTTTAGTAGTCTTACACAGTTTTAAAATTTTTTAGACAAATTCTAAACACTTCTTTGTATTTGTTGTGGTTTAACCAGGACAGTGTTATATGCTTAATGATTCCACGTTTTCTTTAAAGACAGACCAGCTGTTTCTATGACACAAGTTTATTGATATACAAGAAAAAGCAAAGATAAACACCCAAATCCCTGTCTTGTTCTCCCTAAAAATCCAAGGTACCAACATTTATTTTCAAGTATGTCGCAATCACAGCTCCTTTATCTCCTTTAATAAAGAGGATTGCTCCTCAGGCAGTCTGTCCAGGAGAGGGAAATGCAAATTGTTGCTTTGGAATTGAACTCATTTCCTGCTCTTTGGTCATAATGAATGTAATATCTTTCCTTGGCGTGAAGCTTAACAGTATCTAGCTCCACAGATCAGCTGTTCCTTACCAGGCTCCACATGACTGCAGGCCCTTTTCCTTTATCAGTTTTCTTAGAGCATCACTGAACTATAAATTAGAACTGGCAGCATAATATAGATATCACTGATAGGTGCTCAGAGGACTTTTGCAGTACCATGAAGAGAGGAAAATTTAGCATAATCTTTTGCTATTTATTTTGTACTAAGCCTTATCATTGGATAAAGTTCTGTAATTAGCATGCCATTGTTATATTCTTAAGTTATTTTTTGCAGTCAATATTTGGTAAAGGGTGACTGGTAGTGTTTCATTAAAATGAGGCATTTGCTCTTTAACATGCTGAGTAAGGCCTTCAAAGGATAGGAGCAAAGTTGCTCAATGTGGGGTTTTTTGTTTGATCACCGATCTCGTGCATCGTATTAATTATCTGAAACACAGTAAATTGGCTGTTAAATAACCTCAACAATTCAAATAGGAAAATGGTTAGAACAAAAGAGTGACTTCTGCTTAAGGGTAAGTACAGTACTCTATTCTTTCACTTCACAGAATGAAATACAATCTTATGAGCCCCTTTTCGACTCCTTGCTTGCACACACGCTCACTCTTGGGCACTTTCTGTCCCTCAGGCTCGACCCTAGGTTTCCCTGAGGCAGAGTCTCTGACGTGACGTACGCCAGATGAATTTGTTGTGCAGTACAGTGGTAAAAACCAGCTCAATCTGGGTGCTTCCAGAGAGAGACCCCAAACAAAGAAATCCCTGGGCAATTATACCCTTACAATTTAAGTTCCCCTCACACAACAGTTCAGTCCATCGGCAATATTTGATCTGGGGTTGTCTTGTTCCTCAGTGGATCCTTTCTCTGTCTCCAGGCAGGACATTCCTTTTCTTATCTTAATGGATGCAGCTTCTGCTGATAGTTATGGCCACCTTATCTTTCTGGTTTGCACCAGTTTCGGGGGCCTTCCTTCACGTAAAAGTTCAGTATACGGGCAGCATAGCCAGCTGAAAGTTCACAGCCTGCATGAACTCACTCAGGCTTTACCAAGCCTTTCAAGCCTTGGTGCCGATGGGATTCGGTCTGAGCTGGAAAGGGACTTCTACAACAACTCCCAGGAAAACATCAGCTTAGCGGGAGTCAAAAAAAGCAAATCAAACATTAGTAGCGCTTAGGAAAATAATAGAGGACAAAAAAGGAAACATCGTTGCACCGTTGTGTAATTCCATGATTTTTCCACAACTGGAATACTGTGCAATGATCCATTAGAACTGGAAAAGGATAATGAAAAGGGCATTAATCAACCCCGATATGGAGTAACTTCTCTTCTATGAAGAAGATTGAATAGGCCTGGGTTTTTTTTCTAGCCTGGAAGAGAGAAGACTTTACAGAGAAATCATGAAGTTGTACAGAAGAACTAGGGGCTGTTGAACTAGGAGTTGGAATCCCAAAGGAAGTTCTTCGTGCGGCAGTAGCAGATCTGCTGAAGTTCCAGAGGACTTCATGGGTGCGAGAAGTCTACATGAATTCAATCTCTCCATGAGATTGGAGGTTACTGGTGAGAAAAAAACATTGTCCTTATGAAATATCCAGAGTTCAGAATAGTTGGTGAGTGAGAGAGTATTGAGAGAGATGTTGCACCGGCTCGTCCTCTTCAGACCCTTTTTGGAATATACTGATGGTTCTTTAGCATCTGCTACTGCTGGAGATCCAGATGGCCTCTTGATCTGAACTGGTATAGTTGTTCTTATGGTTTTAATTAAAATATAAATAGCCAGCTAGTGCTGTCCTAAAACAATATCAATGTATTTCTGAAGAGGTGCTTTTTTTTTTTTTCCTAGTGGGAAACAGTGTGTTGTGATTGCGGAGGTACGAACCAGAAGGGCAAAGGATCAGGCAGTACAAAGAACAACCTCTCATCCTTTCTCTCGGTATTCTCTGTCCTGAAATTGCTGTGGAAATGTGGCAGATGGGGCTGCAGGTGCCACAGAGCCAACGCTCCCTCTACACGAGCTAGGTTTTCCCCAGTCAGACCTGTGCTCAATACCAGTCTGCTGTTTCCCCTTCCCCACTCATCTCCTAGTGGCTCCTCCATAATTCCTTCTACCCCGCTGTGTGCTTGCATGATACATACACACAAATGTATGTACGTATCAGGAGGTTCAAGCAGGAGATCTGAAACCCTGATGTTTCGGAGGTTTCTGTATGCAGAGCATCTGTAGTTGTTGAATGAAAGAAAGAGGAATTAGAGGACAAAACATATTCTAAACCAGGTAAGCGCTGTTTTATTATGCAGTGTACCAGCTTTTCAGACAAAGATCCCATTTTCTGTTTTCCCAGGTGTCAGGCCGCCACCTCTGTTTGCAAAAGAGTAGATTTAACTTCACTGCTTAGAAGCATTTACATTCTTCCCCCTTTCCCTGACCAGTCCCTTCTCCATCCTTATATACTCCTATTATAAGCGAAGTCCGATTTCTTTCTTCCATCCAACTCATTCTGCCTTTGTAAAGCACTACTCTGTATTCTGCCTCATGACAAATATTACATACTTATCCGTACAGAATTAAGGGCAAAAAGGCAGTTGAGAAGCGAAAGCTTTGGAAAACAATTTAAAAGACATTTGAATCAGGAAGTGCAGTTTGCTCAAACAAGCGGTTTCATAACAGGTGAGATCACGAAGCCTGACCTGCATAAAATAGGCTATGACCACCACCCAGAAATTTGTGCTATAAACACACAATTTCTGATTTAACAGAGCTGGTCTTTTAAAAAGACAATGATCTACTTGTGATTTAAACAGTGAGTTCTAAACACTTCCCATCTTGTCTGAAAAACACCTTCCTTTATCTTTACAGACAATTAATGGTGTTATGCCTTTGTTGGTTGAACAAGAGCAGAGCTCTGTAGCCAGGCTGGCCCAGCTGTTCGGAATGAGGAGAGAGGTGCTGCCCTGCTTAGGCGGCTCTGTCTGCCAGGTCTTGTCCCACTATCAGAGCAGTCTGATCCAGGTAGCCTGGGGTTAAGAGGTTAACAGGAGCAAAGTGGCTGCACTGGGCTATCTGGATTCAGTGTCTGCAGAGAGGCACCTTCCACCAAACCTCAAGTGCCTTATGGCTCTGCCTTCAAAGGGAGGATCAGAGAACCGAAGCCGCTGCTTACCAGCTGGTTCTGACTTCCCCATCAATCTCTACAGCCTTCCTTTCAGCTGAAAGCAGATTTTTATCTCTGCTTCATCACCTGGCTTATGGGATGCAGCTGCCTGCCAGTTTGCTGGCTTCTTAACCCTCTCTACCTCAACCCCCTCAGACAGTTTCCCAACCCCATATAACAAATAATGTCAAGAATTTAAATGTAGACACCAGAATACAACAGGTTTTTGTAGTGGTTTCCCAAGTGAGTATTTTTCTCTCCTATTTTATATCAAAATACAGTTTTCTTCCTCCTAGCCACAGTTGTCACAGCAAGATCACGTACTGACCAGGTAACACCCTGTCAGATACAGAATGCAAGTATCATTCTTGGGTTTAGGTGTTCATAAAACTTTGGTCACATTAAAATTCAAGGGCTTTGTTTGAGGCTCTTTTCATTAACTGGTACAGATCACCAGGCATACATTACTTGCTGTTATTATTTATGACTCCAATAATCCTCGCCACATCTACAAAGTTTTCCGGAAGTTATTTTGCATTTCCATTACAATAGGATGAGTGAGGGCTTGCTTGCTGCTGACCCTTGTAAGAAATTTCCAAGACGCTCTTTATTAAACTGGGCAGCCTGCTGCACGTGGGTGAGATTCCTGAGCTGGCTAACCAGCAGTGTTTTCCACATTTTCAATTACAGCACTTTTTTTCCCTTGAGGAGTATTACTGTAGTTTCTGTAGTTTCTGACCGAAGCATGAAACAATTTCTTACGGTTTGCGTAAAATAGAGACTGGGCTGTTGTAACCATATTTTGTTGCTTTCCAAGAGATGGTGTTTTTTTAAATTGGTTTGCAAGAAGCCATGAACAGCTTTCCCAAGCTGGTGACCCAAGAATAAGGTTTTAAGAGAACGTAGGTTTTCTTTGCATATCATTCCTTTGAAACCAGTGGGACAGAACTTACCTCAAATGCTTTTTATATACGCTCATATGTAAACTAGATGTCTGTTTGGGTTTAATGCCTGAAGGAAAAGTGAAACTTCTTATATTTGATGAATATGTCTGAGTCAGATATCACGGTACCTTAAAATACCAAATTGTTGTAGGACCTCGTCTTAAAATTCCTCTCCTCCCAACCGCCTGTTGAGCAGATTTTGTGAGCGGTTTTTAATTTCCGAGACAGAGCTTTCCGTGCACGGGCAGTGTAACGCCACGCAGAATAACGCAGCTGGTATTGCTGCATGACATCAAAGGGGTTTTGCCGTAACGCGGTACTATAGAAACTATGTTTTGTTCTGTGTGACTACCGTGTGACCTGAAAGCACAGTAAGCACGTAGGGGAAACATATTGACAAAATTAAGAACCTAAGGTTTATTATTAAGGATAATATTAATTACACAAGATTCTACAATTATGTTATTGCTACATTGCCTTGCAGAACAAAGTTAAGTTCTCAGCTGGGGCTTGCCTGACGCGGGCAAAGGAACCCAAACCAAAATATGCTGGGTTGAGAAACGAACGGGAGTTTCACATTCTTCTCTATGGCGTGAGATTTTGGGTAAGTAACTCAGTCCATCCCTTACAGATAAGCACCATGTTGTAGTCCACCTGTAACGATCGGTCG